GCATCCAGCTGATATAAAGTGAGGGGGGATGCACAAGAACCCCCACACTTGCAGATAGCATCAATGGCTGGATAATCAGAATACGACTAGAGGAAGAAGGAAGAGGGAAAATAAGAGTATCCCACTGTAAGTGGATGAACTGGACCTATACTTATGGATGCAGTATGACAAAGGAGTGGACAAATCTCTACAGTGAGGATCATCCCCATCCCCTTGGTACACAGGGTCGACAGGGAGGGGGAACTTAGACTTTGGCTACCCAAAATGGGAGGACTACAAAGGCAATAAGTGACTGGCTTACAAGCTTTCAATAGGGAACCTAATATAGGGAAAGGTAGAATCTCCACTGAATTGTTTCCAACCTGTCTGGTTGGGGTTGATAAAAGATGAGAGGGGAAAGGACTCCTGTGGTTCAATAGAGAATAATTGCTATCAGTTCTGACAGTGAGTGGTGGAAAGGTAAATGTAAATGTTTGGTAACAAAAGGAGGGAAGCAGCTGATTTTGCAGTCCAGGAGCGGAGATCCCTGGAACCATCAAGGAAGATAAGTGAAGTGTGAGACCATGTCCGAAGAGGCAATGGCACTAGGGATAGAGGCAGAGACAATGACGTAGACAGAAGGAGCAGCTGGGGACTCTGGATTCAGAGAGGGCAAGGGGTTGTGTGCTGGTGGCCGGGCGGCAGGAGTGTGGGGTGTACCCTTTGGGTGTTTCATGATGCATGCAGGTGTTGTGATCATTGCAATAAACAAAGTATGATAGGATGAATATAATGTTCACCCATGTAAACTAACACATAATTCACAATAAAAATTTAAAAAAAAAAAAAAAAGAAGACATTAACGAAATCCAAAAGCAGGCTAGACTAAAAGAAAATCACTAAGACATATTATAATCAGACTTTTCAAAACCAAGATAAGAAAAGAATCCTGCGAACAGCTCAGGGAAAAAATAAAAAATTATATATAAAGGAGAACTAATAAAACTAAACTGTTTTCTCAGGAGAAACCATGCAGACAAGAAGACTACATAATAACATATATAAGACTATGGAAAAAAAAACTGCCAATCAAGAATTAAATGCCCAACACAATCAAATATGACAGTGAAATTAGGGCATATCCAAGTAAACAGCAAATAAAAGAGTTAGCAAAAAACAGACCAACCTTACAGAAAAAAATACTAAACGAAATTCTTTGGAGATCAACATTATTGGCTGCCAACAACCTGAGACTAACATTCATGACAGATCACCTAGAACTCAACTCATATATAGTGGTGTGCTGTGGAATAGTTTCTGACTCAGAGTGACCCTCTATAGGATTTCCGAGGCTATAAATCTTTACGGGAGCAGAAAGCCTCATCTTTCTCCCACAGAACAGCTGGCAGTTTCAAAGTGCTGACCTTGACTTAGCAGCCCGACTCCTAAGTACTACGCTACCAGAGCTCCCAACCCAGATATAGAAGTATTCCAAGGAAAATCAACCTACAAGACTGAAAAAAGGGAAGAGATACCAGCTGCAACATAAAAACAACCCATGAAATTAAAAGAGGGGAATGAAGTGGTTATAGAACTTTCAAATAAAGAGGGAACCATGCATATTTCATGAATAAAACATTTTAAATATATAAAAATAAACCTGACTGCAACTCTAAAACTAAACCAAGCCTCATTCCTAGCCATAGCCTAACCTATACCCCTAATAGCAACCCTAACACTAAAAGAAGTCCTAGGCCTGGTCTAGACCTTATTGTTGTTGTTGTTGTTAAGTGCCCTTGAGTCAGTTCTGACTCATAGCAACCCTATACAGGCTTTCTGAGACACAATTGGTGGGCTTGAACTGCCGGCCTTGAGATTCAAACAGATCTTGCGATCCAGTATTATCCTACAGTGCCACATCAAGATGCTTAGACCTAGTCATAGTCCTAATCCTAACTCCTAACCTCCACCTCGCAAAAAAAAAAAAAAAGACATTGAAGGACTCTCATTTCAAAGAATGGACAAAATGAAAATAATTGACGAAATCACATAAAGTGTGTAAAACTTAACTTCATAATGATACTAAAAAAATAAAAGGCAGAAGCTCCTTCACTCCTAAACTGTCTTACTGTACACTGCTACTGCTGGAAGTGGCTTGGTACTAACTTAACTCTGAAAATTAGTAGTTAAAAGAAATAGTATGCATTGATCTTGTCTTTCTATGTACACTGCACACTTCAGGCACACCAAATAACTAGTTCTGACTCACAGTGACCCCGTATAGGCCTTCTAAAGAGTGACTGGTAGATTTGAACCGCCAACCTTAGCTAGCAGTCCAGTAACTCCTTGATCAACTTTCAACAAAGAGCACATTAAGCTATTTCTAGTATTTTCCAAATTCATCTTTATTTTTCTCATTTAAATTTTATCCAGGATTTATATGTACACATCAAAATTTACAGAATTAACTTTCTAACACTGAATACTTCTTTTTAAGTATGCATATGGTCTTTTTTTTTTTTAATGGCAAATCATATTTTTCAGGTCATATTTTACAGATTTTGTTCAGATAATTTGGTTCCTCAGTCAACTTCTGCGCAAACGCAATTTTTACCACTTGTAGTTTTAATAAATCATTTATATAACATACTGATAACTTCTACTAGCTTGTTCATTAGAAACTGGATAAGATACCGAAGATGCTATTGTTGTTGTTAGGTGCCGTTTAATCAGTTCTGATGCACAGTGACCTAGCCATAGGAGCGGCTGGTGAGTTTGAACCACTGACCTTGTAGTTACAACTGACCTTTTGGTCCTGCACTCATCCTACTCCAAAACACAACCTGTCTATTTCTGAGCGGATATCTAAACGAAGACATCCACATTTATATTCTAGGATTCCCTTAACAATCAAGGTTATCGGGGTCAACACTTCTTCATGATCAAATAGTCTTTGCCTGCTTGTTTGAAATCTTTTAAGTAAAACACAAATCTTAAGACCTTTTAAAGGTTAACTCTCTATATATAAACCTATCAAACTAGAGTCTAGTAATAAATTCAAACAAAAAAATTGAAAGCATTTGACAAGAGTAGATTCATAAATATAAGCATTAGTTTGAGGAAAAAATTGCCTCTGTTCACTCTCCGTGAATCTGAGAAGCATTTGTTATTGTTAAGTGCTGTGGATTCAGTTCCGACTCAGAAATATAGTATTTCTGAGATGTGACTGGTGGATTTGAACTGGCAACCTTGTGGTTAGTAGTCCAGTGCTTATCCAACAGTGTCACACCATGACAATCCTATTTTATGTTATTTTGCAAGGAAACCTTTCAATGTTAGGAAGGTGTGGTGCTGTACATTAATGCACTAGACTGCAAAGTTGGTTTGAACCACAAGATTGGCAGTTCAAGCTCACCTAGCGTTCCTTGGAAACCCTAAACTGGGTAGCTATGGGTCAGAAGTGACTCGATAGTACTTAACAACAACAGCAGCACTCTTTGTTCCCATTGAATAATTTAATTTCTATCTTAGTCTTACCAACAGAACCTAAAACAGCACACCAAAATCATACTAGATCCTGTAGGACTGGATCATTTTATACTAGCTGACAAAGACCAAGGTTTTTTATCATTAGCACTCTGGCATTCACTAAATAAAACATCTCATTCAAATGTATATCTGAAAATATATGAACATCCCATCTCTTCTATAATTTACTAATTATGTACATGAGGTTAAGACAAAATGTATTGCTATTAAAAACATCACAGAAACTTTTATAAGTATTAAAAATATCAAAATGTGAAGCTATTATTTCTCAACATATCCTCCATCTAGGTCCACACACCCCTGGAAGTAGTGTTTCCATCTCTCTTCCCTGAAGAATTCTGTGCTCTTCAATGTATATACACATCACATCAAAATGGTAGTTTTGGTATCAAGGGACTCTAATTGTGTTCCTATGTTAGGGAGCAAAAAGCAGTTTGAAGGTGCAAGATCAGGGCTGTAGGGTGGATGGGGTAAGGTTTCCCAACAAAATTCTCACAGGATAATTCTTGCTATGCTTGAAGAAGGAATAGGTGGCATTATTGTGATGGTAAAAAATTCCTTGCTGTAGTTTTCTAGCCTTTTTCTCACCAATGCAGTTTTCAAAATTTCCTAGTGATTAGGAGCTCTGGTAGCGTAGTGATTACGAATTGGGCTGTGAACCACAAGCTCATCAGTTTGAATCCATCAACTTTTCCATGGGAGAAAAGATGAGGCTTTCTGTTCCCGTAAAGATTTACAGCCTCAGAAACCATGTATGAGTCAGAATTGACTCCACAGCACATAACCACCACCACCACGAAGCCCTTGTGATTATGCTGTGTCCTTTGATAAAATCTATCAACATACTACCTTTGGAACCTGTTTGCAAAAAAAAAAAAAAAAACAGTCTCCCATACCTTCAGAGCTGACCTGAATTTAATTGGCCCAGCAAAGCCCCTCAAAAGCCAGTGTTTTGATAGGACCTTTGAAAAAAACAAAAACAAAAAACAAGTGCCCCAATGAGGTCAACCCAAGTATATTACTGATAACTTGTTTGCAGCTATCCACTTTGAGATAAACTTGTGTTAATATGAAAGGAGCTCTGGTAGCATAGTGGTTATCAATTGGGCCGCAAGATCAGCAGTTCAAAACTACCAGATGCTCCGTGGGAGAAAGACGAGGCTTTCTGCTCCCATAAAGCTTTACAGCCTCAGAAACCCTGTTCAGGGTCGCTATGGGTCGGGACTGACTCAACGGCACTTAACAACAATAACAAATACGAACCGAAACCCTAATAGTAATACTTTTTGACCTACTCTCATGCTTCCTCAATAAAATACAAGTAATTCATGCAAACAGCACCAGAATGTCCAAAATGACTAATTACCTGACGCCTCTATTTCATTTTGACTGCATGATAAGTCATCCAAACACAGGTCAATAAGAAGGATTTGTCCAACATCAGTTACCACAGCGGCCACACCAAAAAGCCATCGTAGACTTGGGTGTAAATGCTGAGTGCTTACACTGGCTCCTCCATGATTAATTATAGGTTCAATAGCAGTTACCTGAAAGGCAGAATATATGATTTTCTCTTATTCTATGAAGCAATAAAATATAAGTAAAAACACAACAAATAAAATTGGAAAATAAATCAGGTTATCAGTTATAACAGCTTTTTAAACACAAAATTCCAAACACTAACTTGCATTTAATATTTGGAAAGCCAAATTATGTCATGGAATCATCAGATATACCAGGAATTGAACTATTATCAACATAATTAAAAAACTTGAAAGCCAAACTATTCAGTTGGAATAATAAATTATGTTTATTGTGACCTTAATATGTGCCAGGCATGTGCTAACGTGTTCACTTAATGCTTACAATTGATATTAGACTATACACAATTATCCCTGATAAACATAGAAATAGCTGAGGCTTAGAAAGTTTAACCCAGTTATTAAAGTAACAGTCATTAAGTACAAAAAATTAAACCTTTTCTACCTTAAAGCTCTTAACTTGTCATTCTATTGCCTCTATTCTTAAGAAAGAGTGAAAACAAATCACTCCAGAAAAAATTTATTGGTTGTTCTTAAATAAAAAAAGTTCAAACACAAGATACTTAAGTTTCTGTCTTGTTTCTGTCTTAAAGCCTACAGAGGCCTGCTGTTGTTGTTAGGTGCCATTGAGTTGTTTCCAGTTCATAGCAACCTTATATGAGGGTTTCCAAATTTAAAAATAGCTCACCAAATTCATTTCTTTAACACCAGTAAAGGCAGGTTTTCTAGATTGCTCTAATGCTATGGCCTCAAATTAAAGGGAAAAAAGACTTTAAAAATCCCACTGTAACAAATATTTTCTATAAACTGTCAGTGTTCGCATAAAATACAACTGGGGCTAAGAACAAGTCTCAAATGTCACTTTTCAAATAAAAAGAACATTAGATGACTATATGTCATGTTATTGCTATTTTTACTTTTAAATTTTTTTATCAAGATAAGAAAGCTATTTTTAAATGTTGACTTCCTTATGAGTTTAGCCTCTTTAAAAATAAACTTTATTGATGTAAAACATACACAAAAATTAATTACAAATTAAAAGCTTAATAAATTTTCAAAGTAAATACACCCAGCATAGTGGTTACTAATTGGGCTGCGAACTGCAAGGTCAGCAGTTCGAAACTATCAGCTGTTCTGCGGGAGAAAGATGAGGTTTTCTGCTCCCATAAAGATTTACAGCCTCAGAAACCCTGTACAGGGTCGCTATGAGTCGGAACCGACTCCACGGCACACAATAACAAGAGAGGGAACCAACTGGATGGCACTTAACAACAACAACCAGTAAATGTTCAGAATTTAAAATAGAAATGCCTAGATGATTAACAATACCTACCCTTCCAGGAAGAACAACGGCTTTAACAACTCTTGATATACCAAGGTCATAAAGACAGAGAACACTTCCTTCTGTTTCTTCCAATCCAATTAACAATCCAGTTCTCTTCTGCCAAGAGAATTCTTTCACTGCTAGGACTATAGGAGGCTGATCACTTACTCCATTAAATCTGTATGCAGACAAACGTTCTCCTGTTACAGAGTTTACTACCTCAAGTTGTGGACCACAAGCCAAGCAAGCAAGTCCACTTTTTCCTAGAAGGAAGGAAAATGAACAAACAAAACAGAAATATAGCTTATTTTATGCCACTGTATATACACACAAAATTAAATAGAAGCTAGCTTCCTTACACATGAACATATAGAATATAGCTCATTATATAACGCTTCCTATTATAGCTTTAAATTGAAATCTAAGCATTTATAAAGTGTGATCCTTCAAATTAGTAAAAATGTTGAGCAACTAATACTGTAATAATAAAAATAACCATTAGGCAAAGGAACTATGTTATATGCTTAAATACACTATATTATTATACATCAACAATGAGTTAAGGCAACTAAAGCTTAATGTGGTAAAATAATTTGCCAAAAGTCACACAACTGCAAAACAAGACAGCCAAAGTAGATCCTAAGTCTACCTCTAAAACTTTTACTACTACATTACATATTAAAGGATTTAAAATATAAGATATGATTGGATTCTATTTGTGATGAGCAAGTGTCAGAAGCCCTTCTAGTATGCAAGGCAAAATTACCGAAGTTTTAAGCAGGGATTGACAATCTGATTTATTTTTTAAGTGTTCCACCAGCTTCTATGCAAACAATGCATAATAAAGGGGGTGGCAGGAAGGAGAAAGTACAGAGCGGAAATAGGAATGAGATATTCATGAAGTGGATTTACTGCAGATTCCTTCATAGTGGTAGAACTAATAGGATTTGCTGGATGAATTAATTAGATATGAAAAGGTAAGTAAAAGTGAACAATCAAGAATAAATCCTGAGATGCATGGAGGGGATTGTATTCATTGCTATGAAACGAAATACAACAGGATGAGTGTTAAACTGCTGTTCTCCCATGTAAACTATTACTCAATTCACAATAAAAACTTCAGTTCCACTTGCTACTTCAATGTGGTGCTGTAGGCTAAGCACTGGACTGCAAACCACAGGTTCGGCAGTTTAAACCCACTAGCTGCTCCTTGGAAACCCTATACAGGGTCGTTATGAGTCGTAACTGACTCCACGGCACTCAACAACCTCAATGGAAAGTTTTCACAGTGCTTGACATATAGTAAATGCTGCTGTTGTTGTTAAGTACTGTGGAGTTGGTTCCAACTCATAGTGACCCCGCACAGGGTTTCCGAGGCTGCAAATCTTTATGGGAGCAGAAAACCTCATGTTTCTCCCGTGGAACAGCTGGTAGTTTTGAACTGCTGATCTTGAAGTTAGCAGCCCAAATCGCAACCAACTACCAGAGCGCCTTGTAAATGTTGCTACTACTTTTAATATTCAAGAGAATAGCATGGAAAATGGCTAAATGACTGATTTCACTAGACTGAAATCCACTACATAGTGGCGTCTGTTGAAAATATACCATTTAAGTCATATTTTGTTGTTGTTGTTAGGTGCCACTGAATCGGTACTGACCCATAGCGACCTAATGCACAGCAGAATGAAACACTGCCCAATCCTGGACCAACCTCACTACTGTTGCCATGCTTGAGTCCATCAATGCTGTCACTTGGCCAATCCATCTCATTGGGCGTCTTCCTCTTTTTCTCTG